CCAAGGAAATGTCAATGTTGTGAAAGGGAGATAACTCTCAACATAGTTTTTCCTGAAGACTGTCTATTATGCACAATCTTCGTTTCAAAACATGAGACGATATGAAAGTAAAATTTCTGTTATGTTAGAAATAAATGAGTTTCAACATGTACACTTTATTAAGAACAAAAAGGTATTTTTGTTTGATGACATATTTCCAGAAATTTTGCGAAAATATACTGAGTCAAAAAAGAAACTTCACAAAATGGAATTTGAAAAATAATGAATAATTTTTCTCTGATGATACATCTATGTATCCGAAATGGGATCCCTATCTTTCGACTCTAGAAAAACGTTAGCAAAACCCACTCAAACCCATCCATTCGTCGTGCAAATGACGTTAGTGCCAAATCAGGTTTTGCACGTGCAGTCGATCTTCGCATCGAAGTTTTCTTCATATGCACGTGTTTGCATTGCCCTCAAGAATTGAAAAAACACTCTTATACCACAGTTCTAACGGTACTTGAAATGCCACGATTGTCAAATGTGCAACGTGAACTGTTGCAAGCGGGAAGATCAGTTATTGACGTCGCAAGAGCAATGGGATGCAGCCGTCATACTGTGTATGACTTACGAGGTCGTCTACAACAAACTGGCACTACTTCTGATCGCCCAAGGTCGGGTCGTCCACGTGTGACGTCACGAGCAGAAGACCGTCAAATCGTCCTACATCACCTACGTGACAGATTTCTGCCGGCTACACGAACCAGGACTGAGATGTTTAGAGGTCGACTGTCCTCACAGACCATTCGAAATCGGTTGCGGGCTGCCAATCTCCATTCTCGACGTCCATATCGTGGGCCAATATTGACGCCGTTTCATCAACGTCAACGTCTGCTGTGGGCCCAACGTCACCTCCGATGAACCCAGAGAGACTGGAATCGAGTCGTCTTTAGCGATGAATCCAGGTTTACCCTCAGATTCGCGGACGGCAGGCATAGAGTCTGGAGACGACGTCGTGAACGGTATGCCCAATGTTGTGTACAGGAAGTCGACAGATTCGGGGGCGGAAGTTGCATGGTGTGGGGTGCTTTCTGTGGGAACAACCGTTCCCGACTTCTGGTCATCTTTGGAAACCTCACAGCTGCTGCTTACCGCGACCAGGTGCTCACCCCTGAACTCGTTCCTTTCATGGCGGCTCATGGCCCAGGTCTACAGTTCCAGCATGATAATGCTCGGCCGCATACTGCGATGTTGACACGAAATTTCCTTCAAAACGCTGGAATCAGTGTCATGGACTGGCCATCAAGGTCCCCTGACCTTAATCCATTAGAGCACGTTTGGGATGCACTTGGGAGAAGGCTTCGTGGTCTTAGGAACCAACCTCAGAAATTGCAGGAACTTGGCGCTGCCTTGCAAGAGCAATGGCGCAGAATCCCCAACCACGTGTTCACAAGCATCAGGCAGTCGATGAGGAGACGGTGTTTGGCAGTGGTGAATGCGCGGGGCGGCCATACACGATATTGAAATGAGAAATTTCACATTTTTATTCTTGTGACTTGACATTCTGTATACCCATGTTTTGGAACGGCGGTGTAACCTAATGGAACTGATAATGGCACTGTCAGTGTATCGAGTACATCACACAGATCTCAGCATTGAAATAATAACAATTTAACCATCTTACCATCTCTTGTTCTTTTATAGTGCCCTGAAGAAAGAATGTGAAGTTTCTTTTTTGACTCAGTATAATTATTTTAGGAAAAGTTCTACATCTCTTGGAATTATTATGGGTAAAAAAATGCTTTTAACCCTAAAGTATTTTTTTTCTGTCAAAATTAAAAATATCATATGTGATCTATGTTAAAGATAAAATTATGACCTTTTACTAGATATAATGCTTAAAATATATAGTTTTAAGGTATTTTAAAAAAAAATGAAATACGTGTTCGCTTTGGTTGAAAAAATATATAGGAAAGTTAATAATTATCCTTAATTTTGATAATGTTCCCCACCTCTGATTTCTTAAGACTTTTAGTATGTAATGTATAAGATATTCCTGAATTAGAAACACAACAATTTGTTTCTGTTGCAATTTGTTTTGGGTTCCCCCTTTGGGGGATCTAAATTTCCTGGCCTACTAGGGATAGCTATGACTTAGTGTTAAAAAAAATTCATTTCCATTTTCTGTATGTGTCTGTGGAAACCACAAGAATAAGGCAACCATAATCCAGAGGGAATGTTTACGCCATAATTTCGATATTTCATTCGTTTTGATGCTCAAGTGACAATACCTAGATGACCAGGGTGCCTGGACAGGGCTTACACACAACTGTCCGTGGTCATGTGGGCTCCTTTCACAGTGAAGCGGAAGAATGACTTCCAATGATATCCCAGTTTACCGTAGAAAGGCAGTTGTTGTGTCAGCCAAGATTGTCTGGATGCTTGATCTCATGTTTAAAATTGGGTAAATGCGAATAGTTCTTGGCTGGATATATCTGAATATCACGGCAATACAACCCCCGATTTCCATTTACAGTAGCCAACAAAATATTGTTCTGTCATTGTAGCATTGTTTCAGCTGATATGCAATTACTAACAAGCCATTGTTGTGAGCCCCGAAACGGTGACACCGAGTCCAATTAGGGTAATGAAGAAACCCAAAAATCCTAAAAAAGTAGCCGCCTGTAAAAAAGGCGGGTTAGCCAGGAATAAACAAATACACCACCAGATTAACATATGGGTCCCGTACACAATTGGTGGTCAGGCTCACTGGCTTGGTTGACACATGTCATCGGTTCCCAATTGCGCAGATCGATGCTCATGCTGTTTATCACTGGATTGTCTGGTCCAGACTCGATTTACAGACCGCCGCCATATAGCTGGAATATTGCTGAGTGCAGATTTAACTAAACTAACTCACCAGAAAACAGCTTGAATCACTCGGCACTATGCCAACATTCTCGCAGTATTATCAACCTACCTCACGTATAACGGGTCATCTCATACAGTCTTTTCAAAATCGTATCATATGGTTAGACAAAATAGTCAGAGATGTGTATTGTAAATCCCCGGGATGTGAATGGTAAATCCCCAGAATGTGAATTGTAATCCCCGGTATGTGAATGGATCACAGACCTCTGCTGTGACTTTGCACTGATCATTTCTAAACCTAGGATATTATTCATGATTGATACAACTTTGTCTTGCTATCACTGATCGTGAAATGTCACATTATTGAAAACTTCCAGTACATAGAGCCGATAACTGGTTTCGAACCTGCAACCCTTTGCTCTCTAACTTGGCGGTTTTATCCACTATAGGCTACGAAGGATCTCTATGAAGAATAAGATTGTTTGTCAGTATGAACCATGTGTTCCTCACAAAACGGGTACTGTGGGCAGCGCACGTGCAGAACACGGGTAGCGCCTGCAAGGCAAGGTGTTGGCTGCCAGTCGCATCCCAGTTGACACCGGCTGTTCCATCATTTGCGGGCTGTTCCATCAATGTTGTTCTGCTCGGGGCGTATTGATGTCGATCGTTATATTTCATTTTAAAAGATATTTTACGCAACAACGGTTTGTGAACCCTGAGGTCCGAGGGATGTTCCCGACTCTGAGGGTTCACAATCTCTAGTAAACCCGAGTAGGAATGGTTTCTCCTTTTCTTACACTTTCCGCGGGGCAGAAAGGTCGTGAGTTTGCCATCACCGCCTCAGGCATGATCTTTATCGCACTACTCGTAAATCAATTACACCAATATTCATCTACCGGTATGTGCATAGTAGCAAGATGAGACCCACTCCTTATCATTGCAAATACATGCTTCTGGGAAAAGCCGAGACTTGCAGAAGAAATGCATGACGGAGTATTATGGAATACACATGCTGTCTATCAGAAACGGTTAACTAACTACATGTGTCATGTTTGTGGTGTGGGAGTGAAATGCCATATGGCTTATGTAAAGCCCACGGAGCAAACATAGTCCGAAACCAACTTATTTATGAAAAGAAGAAAGATTATCTCTACGCAACATTATCTCTACGAACGTAACCGACTATTCAGGATAAAAATTTAAAAAGATAAAAAACATAAATAAAAAATTCAAGGCTTCCACCCTTCAATAGGGGGATATCATCGACGTCCCCGCTTGTGGACCATGATTTTTTTTTGCAGGCTCAGGGAGCCGAATTGGACCAAAAGGTCACCATGAGGGCCAGTGGTCTAGAATCCCCCTTTCCCCTTCTACTGATGTATAGCTGGAATGAAGACACACTAAAAAATATACTCATGCTAACAGACAAGATAATTTTTTTGTAAGGTTTTAAATATTTATTTGTACATCACAGAGAAATGTAATCAAACTGCAAATTTTCAATACATTCATCTAAAATATTACACTAGTGACAGGAGCCTGAACACTGATATAACACACATATAAAACTAGGACATAAACTGAGATAAAACAGAATGTTGACCTCACGTGTACAGGATCATTGTAAACAAAGTAAAATGTCACATTACTATAAATTCACACAGAGAAAACAGAATGCATGTTATAACTGATTTTGTACCTTTAATTAAATATTAGCAATACAAGTGAAAACATACGTCTTTACTTTAGAAATACCACATTTGTAAAGTAAAGACCAGTTACACTGATGTATCCTGGAGACGGAAGGAGTGCAGTAAACTAAAACTGGTGAGACTGGATTGTTCCTGAGCATCTAACTATAGCCATGCAGTATCCACTATGTGACGCACTATGAGGTTGTGGCATCATACATACTGATGTATTATAACCTTCCCCAAAGCAGACTCAAGCTGTAAGAAATGCCTGAGGGTCTTTTATTGCCGTCAGTGTGTCAGCCTTTGCAAGAGGAGGACTTAAAAGGTAGGGATCCTGGAATGTGCAATTGCTCTGTTTATTCTATGAGCTACAAAGAAAATACTGCACGTCAACTAGGGCAATGACGTTTATCACCTGGAATGCATAATACACATGACTGACACAGATGTCCGGTAACACAGGCAGTACACCAGCATGTCTGTAACACAGGCAGTACACCAGCATGTCTGTAACACAGGTTAACACAGGCAGCACACCAGCATGTCTGTAACACAGGGTAAAACAGGCAGTACACCAGCATGTCTGTAACACAGACAGTACACCAGCATGTCTGTAACACAGACAGTACACCAGCATGTCTGTAACACAGGCAGTACACCAGCATGTCTGTAACACAGACAGTACACCAGCATGTCTGTAACACAGACAGTACACCAGCATGTCTGTAACACAGGCATCACACCAGCATGTCTGTAACACAGGCAGTACACCAGCATGTCTGTAACACAGGTTAACACAGGCAGTACACCAGCATGTCTGTAACACAGGCAGTACACCAGCATGTCTGTAACAGAGGCAGTACACCAGCATGTCTGTAACACAGGCAGTACACCAGCATGTCTGTAACACAGGTTAACACAGGCAGTACACCAGCATGTCTGTAACACAGGCAGTACACCAGCATGTCTGTAACACAGGCAGTACACCAGCATGTCTGTAACACAGGTTAACACAGGCAGTACACCAGCATGTCTGTAACACAGGCAGTACACCAGCATGTCTGTAACACAGGCAGCACACCAGCATGAATGTCTGTAACACAGGCAGTACACCAGCATGTCTGTACCACAGGCAGTACACCAGCATGTCTGTAACACAGGCAGTACACCAGCATGTCTGTAACACAGGCAGCACACCAGCATGAATGTCTGTAACACACACAGTACACCAGCATGTCTGTAACACAGGCAGTACACCAGCATGTCTGTAACACAGGCAGCACACCAGCATGTCTGTAACACAGGCAGTACACCAGCATGTCTGTAACACAGGCAGCACACCAGCATGAATGTCTGTAACACAGGCAGTACACCAGCATGTCTGTAACACAGGCAGTACACCAGCATGTCTGTAACACAGGCAGTACACCAGCATGTCTGTAACACAGGCAGCACACCAGCATGAATGTCTGTAACACAGGCAGTACACCAGCATGTCTGTAACACAGGCAGCACACCAGCATGTCTGTAACACAGGCAGTACACCAGCATGTCTGTAACACAGACAGTACACCAGCATGTCTGTAACACAGGTTAACACAGGCAGTACACCAGCATGTCTGTAACACAGACAGTACACCAGCATGTCTGTAACACAGGCAGCACACCAGCATGTCTGTAACACAGACAGTACACCAGCATGTCTGTAACACAGGTTAACACAGACAGTACACCAGCATGTCTGTAACACAGACAGTACACCAGCATGTCTGTAACACAGGTTAACACAGGCAGTACACCAGCATGTCTGTAACACAGGTTAACACCAGCATGTCCGTAACACGGGCAGTACACCAGCATGTCTGTAACACAGGCAGTACACCAGTATACATTTGAACCTATGAACTATTCAGGGGATCCTTGCTAGGCATCGCAGCTCATACTGCGGTATGACAAATGTAATCGCTCAAATGTTACCAATACTGTCATAACAAAACATGTATTCCCCTCTAACATAGACATCATATAAAGAAATCCTTACAACATATTCAGGCTTGACACATATCTGACTGGAAAATAATGAGAAAAGATGAAATTACTTTAATTTATTGCACCTGAAAAGTGACATTAATAGTAACAGTGCAGAATGAACATCTATTAATTGCTGCACAACTTCATTTTTCTCTAACTAGTAGTTCCCAATAAATGAATGTGCAGTCCTGACATCAGCATGTAAACAGGAGAATTGTCAACATCATTCAAAAATGTAACACCAGTACATGTCAATATCCAACAGGTGCATTACTTAGGCTGCACACTGCCTTTGTTAGTTTCTAAATGTTTTGTAAGTGAAAACAATTGATTTTGGTGCATAAGGAAACAGAGTAAAGGAATGATAATTTTCAAATTCATAACATTTCGTAACGGATAAAGCAGAATGTGCTACCATAGCAAGTGCTCATCAACCGGCTGGCATAGTGAACCAACACTGATTATCTAGCAACATCTTCAAAACCTGCATGCTGAAGCTCAGCTATTCACTACAGCTGTATGAAGTTATGTGTTTGTATGGTACAAGCAGACAGAGACACTGTACATATGATACAGGATAGGATACACAGGGACCAGCCCACTCACAGATGGCCACCTGTATGACTCTTGTTACTGTCTGTGTGTCTGGTCGGCAGACTCTTGTTCTGTCTGTGTGTCTGGTCGGCAGACTCTTGTTTCTGTCTGTGTGTCTGGTCCGCAGACTCTTGTTTCTGTCTGTGTGTCTGGTCGGCAGACTCTTGTTTCTGTCTGTGTGTCTGGTCCGCAGACTCTTGTTACTGCTGTGTGTCTGGTCGGCAGACTCTTGTTTCTGTCTGTGTGTCTGGTCCGCAGACTCTTGTTTCTGTCTGTGTGTCTGGTCGGCAGACTCTTGTTTCTGTCTGTGTGTCTGGTCCGCAGACTCTTGTTTCTGTCTGTGTGTCTGGTCCGCAGACTCTTGTTTCTGTCTGTGTGTCTGGTCGGCAGACTCTTGTTTCTGTCTGTGTGTCTGGTCCGCAGACTCTTGTTACTGCTGTGTGTCTGGTCCGCAGACTCTTGTTTCTGTCTGTGTGTCTGGTCCGCAGACTCTTGTTTCTATCTGTGTGTCTGGTCGGCAGACTCTTGTTTCTGTCTGTGTGTCTGGTCGGCAGACTCTTGTTACTGCTGTGTGTCTGGTCTGCAGACTCTTGTTTCTGTCTGTGTGTCTGGTCCGCAGACTCTTGTTTCTGTCTGTGTGTCTGGTCGGCAGACTCTTGTTTCTGTCTGTGTGTCTGGTCCGCAGACTCTTGTTACTGCTGTGTGGTGTGTGGTGCTCCAATGTCTGGAGGCTAGGTCTTCCTCTGCTGTGTGGTGCTTCAATGGCAGGAGGCTAGGTCTTCCTCGGCTGTGTGATGTGTGGTGCTTCAATGTCTGGAGGCTAGGTCTTCCTCTGCTGTGTGGTGTGTGGTGCTTCAATGTCTGGAGGCTAGGTCTTCCTCTGCTGTGTGGTGTGTGGTGCTTCAATGGCAGGATTTAGGTCTTCCTCTGCTGTGTGATGTGTGATGCTTCAATCGCAGGAGGCTAGGTCTTCCTCTGCTGTGTGGTGTGTGGTGCTTCAATGTCTGGAGGCTAGGTCTTCCTCTGCTGTGTGATGTGTGGTGCTTCAATGTCTGGAGGCTAGGTCTTCCTCTGCTGTGTGGTGTGTGGTGCTTCAGGTTGCTCCAGATAATTGGGGTTTTGCCTCACCAGGTCCTCTATTCTGTAACAAGATTGTTTGTTTGTAAACGCTGCACATAACAATATTCCAGCTACATGGCGGCGGTCTATAAATAATCGAGTCTGGACCAGACCCTTCAGTGATCTACAGTACGAGCATCCATCTACGCGATTGGGATACGATGACATGTGTCAACCAAGTCAGCGAGCCTGACCACCCGATCCCGTTAGTCGCCTCTTACAACAAGCTTGTGATGCTGAAGACCAATTCTAACCCGGTTCTTCACGGGCCTGTAACAGGAAGCAAACCAACATATCAAAATATTTTCCAAATGTAAAGTTTGATTAAATGAAAAAGGTTATATATTTTTGCATGAGATAGTTGGGATAACACCTATACAATGTCACACTATAGAAAGCATAGTGCATTTTATCTTAGCTATGTTGTCAATATTTTATAAAATGTTCTTGTCAGGATTGTCATTCAAATATTTCTTGTATAATAGTAAGGACACAATTTACCAGAAACTAAATTTCAACAGTGATTGCACAGGAATGAGTGTACCCAGATGTATAATAGTGTTGCAATGTACAAAAGTTAAGTTTGTACACAAAGTTTCAGCTCTGAGCCTTGTGAATCATTTTTCTATTGAAATACACAATTTCCACTTGTTTCAAATACTAAAAAAGACACTAATACCAAGTTGTTTTTAACAAAATATGAAGTCAGTATACGGAGGAGTACACGTGCCTCTGTTTCTAATACTCAGAAACACTACCAACTGCACATGTTCCAAACATATTTGATTTTCATTAGAAATAGGTAAGTAATGGCAATAAAAAACTATCTGTTTTCAAAGACTAAAGGTGAAAAGATTAATTGTCTAAACACATGGAACACAATATTATGTTGAGACCTAGTACCAGCTGGGCACATTTCTAACAAATTTCTTTTCAGGTTGAATAGAAGAGGTTTTCCAATGACAGCCATACTGAAAATCAGATCAAATCAATTTATCAATTCTGTTGTTGTCAGTGATGGGAAGAGGTATGTAGAATTTCAGCTTCATTGGTTGAGTGCTTTCTGGGGATAGGATGTTAGTGGTGGACCTGAGATTCAGTAGATGTTTGTGAGCTTAAACCTATCAGGGTACTTACCCAAGTCAATAATTTTATATGCTTATTAGTTAAAAGACCATAACATGCCATTTCATTTGTTAATTACAGTTCATGCCAAGATGAAACTCAAACTCATTGTCAGCTACACAAAAGTTTAGCTCCATAAATGAAATTATGCATTCTTATTGGTACATATCCTATAGTTGGTATATTCTAAAACAGCAGGGCTGGTTAATCAGAACTTCCACAATATTGGAATATATATTTGAGAAATATATGTGAGTAAGGCTCACTAATGCCCCCAACCTGACTCCCAACTAATTATTAATAAAAAAATAATAAAACAAAAAAGCCATTACCAAAATCTGAAAAACATCCAATAAATGATTGAAAAGTTATTGGTTGAACAAATTTGACATTGGCTCTTGCCAGTGTCTCTTGAGTCTAAACGGCTCATGGTCGATTGACTAATAGGATCAGTCGTTTTATCTAGCTGCATCGGAATACAGTAGAATTTTGATGAAATTGATGCAACTCTTTCAAAAAATAGGAAATCAGAACCAAACTTTGCACTGCCAAAGAAGCTGTTTTCCAATTTGAAAACATTTTGACCAATACGTTTCAAGTTATTGGTTGAACAAACTTTCTTAGCTCAAAGTCTTAAATCGCTTTAATTCTCGAAAAAAAGAATCACAATATGCACTGCACCTCTCCTTTGGATGAAGGTGGTTCCCAACTTTGAAAACAATCCAATTTCAAGGTATTGGTTGAACAAAAATGTCTTGGACGGATGCAATTCCTAGGGTATAACTATACATTCCCGACCTTTTTCGGCTGGGTTTATAAAATTAATGTTTGAATGACGTTCCATTATGGGACACACCCTCATCAAAATTCAAATTGTGGACCTTGTGGTTTCAGAGAAAATTCTTCAAAGTTTCATTTTTTCAATTTTGAAAAAGTAAAATATTTTCTGCTGTATTCACATTAAAATCGAGTGGCACAATGATTGTTTCTATGTGGACAAGTTACACACCATCAGAGACAATGATTTCAGGAGGAAAACAATTGTAAATGTGTCAAGATGAGAACATGAAAATTAGATGAGCCTTTTACTAGTGTGTTAGTACTGAGAATGTCCCAAATATTGACTAAAATTTGAAAAAGAGGAACTATGTTTGATTCCTTTCCACCCGTCAGATACTGCAGTTCCACAAACAAACTGTCTGCCACCAAATGGAAGTACACAGTAGATGTGGGCAAGCGATGGGGAGAGTGACAGTCATGCCTAGAACACAAGGCATACCTACCTGTTGGTGCGGCAAGCTCATTGTGGGGAGGTGGGGTCTGAGGTGGGGGTGGAGGGAGTGGACAAGGTGGGTCGGCTGTGGAAGCTGTCATCGTGGCTGTGGGGGAGAGAGAGGCATCCAGTACAAACACAACAGTCATCATTAGTAAGGAGAAAATACCATCAGTGCTAACATTTCCATACTTACTCATACTGAATATCTTAATCCACATAAAGGTGTTTAAATAAAGTTAATGTAATGAAGAAAAATATGTGTTAATACAATTGATATAACTATACATAAGATACACATCCTAATCTATGCAGTCTTCAATTATACAAATAACGATGTACTTTTGAGTTGTCTTCATGTGAGTGAGTGAGTTGGGTTTTATGCCGCTGTTAGCAATATTCCAGCAATATCACAGCGGGGGACACCAGAAATGGGCTTCACACATTGTACCCATGTGGGGAATTGAACCCGGGTCATCAGCGTGACGAGCGAACGCTTTAACCATTAGGCTACTCCACTGACCTCACACATAAGCTTCTGCTTTACAAACTAAGAAAAAACAACTGAACACCTTATCTGAAAGGTGATGTACTGTTATGTCAGTTTGGGTAATTGTCCTGATACACATTTATCAATCACTGGAACAATGAAGAGTCTGTATGCCCACATAATATGTAGTGACCTTGCCCTTCAGCCACAGTGAAATGATGCCTGAGAGAACCAATAAAAACAAGGTGGCTCTAATCGAACTCTAGTACAGTGATATATGATTAGATATGCAACTAATTTCACACAACCCATCCGACAACCAAATAAAACCAGAACTACTGACTGCCGTTATATCTTTGACATCATCATCTAAGTACATCCATTCAGATTAAGGGAAAGGATAAACACTGGTTATATCAGGACACTTGTTTAAAGGACAAGCTACATAAAAAAAAACATTTCTTGCAATTTTACAACAAAGATAAATTTTAATGGATACATTACATTAAACCTGTAACGGATGAAAAATTGAAACATTTGTTGAAAGTATTTGGGAGCCCAAGTGAGTACCTATATTTATGTCTCAATGTCTAAGGAAGCTGTTAGTCAAAAGCAAATATACTCGGCGTCATCAATGAAGGGTGAAACTATTTGTAACACTATTTCTTAAACGTGTTAAAATCTTCTTTCTTGTTTGAAATATATACAACTGAATATTTCAGAAACATTCTTTACAGTATGGAAAAACATATCAGGCCATTGAAAAGTCATTATTACGTTCTTTAATGTCCGATACATTCTGTTAGAAATGGCACATTTTTTTATCCAAATTGTCAATATGGAAATCCACCTGCCACTTAATGTCAATGATTTGCACAGTCAACTCAGCGGAAGGTTGTTGTCCGCTTTAATATGAGTCAGAGTGCTATTGGCAGACTGGCAGAGATTTCAAGCCAATGGGCCTGAGGAATATACATGTCGCCCAGGTGTCGCCCCAGAGTCACAACAGTTCGAGATGATAGGCACATGATTAAGACTACGTTACGTAACAGATTCCTTAATGCAGCAGATCTTCAGACAGAACACTTCAATATTAACAATGTAAGGATATCCAAGAGCACTGTTTGTTGATGTTTAAGGGCAGCCGGACTCCACTGTAGGTGACCTGCAGTTCGTCCACCACTAACACCACGTCATAGGCAGGCACGTTCAAGATCTTCACAGATGAAAGCAGATTCAATTTGTCCTTCCATGATGGTCGGCAGAGGATTTATTGTCGCAAACGAGAGCGAATCACAGATGCAACTGTGGCCACACATACCCGATTTGGTTGGGGGTCTGTCATGGTTTGGGCAGGGATACTGGACGTACTCCACTGTGCGTGGTCAATGGTAAATACTGGACGGTGTTATCGGACGAGATTCTGGCTCCTATAGCAGCACCATTACTGCAAGCTATGCATGGCTTTTATGGTCGACCCTCTTTACTGCAAGACGCTGGGCCTCATAGGGCCAGGATTGTCACAAAATTCCTTAGACAGCAGGGTGTAGAGCAGATGGAGTGGCCAGCTTGCCCGCCAGACTCAACCCAATTGAGCATGCCTGGGATGAACTCGGTCGACTTATGTACTATGTACATGTCACCCAGAACCAGTGGATCTCCCAGGACCTTGCATAGCTCTAGTAGAGGAATGGAATGCTATTCCGCAAGCTTTCTTTATGCACTTGATAAGGAGCATGAGAACAAGGGGCACAAGATACTGAATGATCGAGTGCATCATGTTTGTCATTTTCATTTTCGGAGTTGGTCTATACAACTGATGTTTGCTAGTGCTCTTTGAACTTTTGTAAACTTTTGAATTTACCTAATGAAAGGTACCCTAAGCAATGTTATATCATGCTGTGTAATATTGACACAGCTGGTAGGAAGACGAATAGGTGCACTTCCTTTATTTAAAAATTGACAGGTAGACAGGATGGATTATCCAGACAGAAAAGACTTTGTAGATTTGTAGTAGTATTAATACTGAAGATGTTTGAGTGCCCGAAATACCATTATCTTCATCCAAAATATTTTAAAAGTATGCCAGTGTACATCAATAGCCATTACTTCATTAATACCCTTCTTTGTAACAATATTTAGCTTGCTCATATATATAGTACAAACATATATGTAGCTCATATATGTAGTACAAACTTAATATTGAAACATTATTATCATGTTTTTGTATGTGGGCCTAAGGCCTTTTCACGAAATAAACTGATTGATTGATTATTATTTCTTAGAGACTTTTCTTTACATGTGCTATATATATCATTTGACCCTTTATTAATGACGCCTAGTATATATATGTGATGCTATTTATGATAATCCTGCTAAAAAACCCATTGCCCACCATGTTAAGTGACTGAAACAAACTTTGATCTTGGCATTGTTGATAACTGAAATGTATTTTTTAAACAAAAATGATAATTTATATTTCTGACTCATAATATTTGCTTCTCTCTCTTTCAGCCTGAGATACAGTGGGAACCTCTGTGTCTATGTTCCCCAAGAACAGAAAAAACATGTCAGGCAATGCCTACCATCAACCCTGTGACAGTGCGGTGACTCGTCACTCTCTCAAGTTATCACCATGTAGACTTCTGGTAGATCTCAGGGTTAAGCCTGTGATTGCCTTGTGTGTGGATGCAGGAGGAGGTATGGCCAGTTTGGGAGCTTTAGACTTGGTTTCTTAGTTTTTGCAATCTTTTCTATGACACTTGGCTGAAGCACAGGTAGAGGGAACGCATATTTAGTGAAGTCCTTCCCCGGATATTGCTAGTGCATCTAGTTGAAATGACTCTGGATGTAACATCCATTCTGTTGGCAGTGGTTTGTTTGGCCTGGGAAGCGTATCTGCTCACATTTATAGGTGTCCGTCAGCTCGTAAAGTCGAAACGTCAACTTTAGCAAACTTGCCGACCTTGTTGTACCTTGAAGGTTGATGTAACTATGGCTGCTACTGCATTGTCTGTGTGGATCATCTGGAACTGGTTCTTCAATTGACGAGACCAGTGAGCTATGGCTCTGATGACTGCTTCGTACTCCAGCTGGTTGATGTGAAGAGATTTCTCTTCCTCAGACCACTGTCCTGCTGCCACTTCTGATTTGAAGTGGGCTTCCCAGGCTTGGCGTGAAGCGTCTACAAAGAGATGAAGGTTGTAATCTGGTCTGTTCCTCCGCAGACATTCGATTTGACAATCCACCAACGAATCTACTTATTCAGATATAATGGAAGAAGAATCTTGACGATCATGATGATCAAGAAACAAACTCAGGAATCTCTGAATTGGTCTTTATTGATGTCTGCCTCTTACTGTTAGTGCTTGAGCCGACGTGAGGAGTGAGATTGACAGTCTTGCGTTGAGAGTTTGCGGTAGGTAACTCTGGATCTCTGTCCAGCGATACTCTGGTACTTGAATGAATTCCTTGTTATAAGGAATCTGATTCCCAGAAACTTGAGATCTTGTGACGGCAGAAGCTCAGACTTTTGAAAGTTGATTAGCCACCTCAGTTGCATTAACAACTGCATGGTGAAGTTCATCTGATGTTTGAGTAGCTCTACTAATTACTACTATAATTAATACTAATTGGTGAGCGTGGATGCAGGATAGGAGATTCTCTGAATATTCTATTTTTGAAGGGTTTGCAGCTAAAGGAGGTTCTTCCTGTGATTGTATCTTGTAGCCTTCTTTTAGAATCTCTATGAATGGGTCTTGTGAGATGTCCCAATTCTGCCAATAAGTTGTCAGTCTTCCACCCACAGTGGATGGTTGTATGGGAACTATTGGGGTGGAATGTACCAGTCGTTCACAACCTGACCTTTAGCGACAAAAAAGGGAACTTTTGAAAGTCCTGCCCCTGCTGGACTGTCCACTTGAGTTCTCTTGTGGCTTACGAAAAGAGGAGGTCTTACTCCCTTTCGCCGACGTGAACCTTCTGTCTTTTGGATGCATCAGAAACGACTCTTAAATTGAGTCTTTTGCATCGACTGCTTTAACATCAAGTTCATGGTCTGAACTGATTTAATCAACATCTGATCTTTTGAACCTTGGGCGACTTCCCTGCTCACGCTGCGTATTGAATCATCAAAGATGGGGGGTGCCCCTCAGGGTTGATGGAACAAGAAGACAAAGTCATCAATATCCCCCGCAATGGCAAAATACTCTTCATGAATATGTCTACAAGTTATGATTATGTCAAATGTTTTGGTGTGTATATAGAAAAGTGGAATGAGATTATTGAAAGGTTTTTAAAGTTCTGCTCCAGAAAGGAGCACTACCACCAGTTTCAGTCTAAGTCAAACTTGTTGCCATGGAAATGCCAAATATACTTTATTCAGAATGCCAAAACTACCAAAAGGCACCAGTACACCACCAGATGTATGTATGTGCCATGTTTGGTGAAGAAACATTGAACGGTTTTAGAGTTCTGCTCCGGAAAAGAGCACTACCACCAGTTTCAGTCTAAGTCAAACTTGTTGCCATGGAAACGCCAAAAAATATTTTATTCATAATACCAAAACTACCAAAAGGCACCAGTACACCACCAGGCCTATCTATGTGCCATGTTGG